TTCGTGCGAAGGGCGCTCGGGATGAGTTTTTACCGATCTGCAGAATCTTCATCAGACCGCCGGAAGCGCTTGACCCGCAGCGCTGCGGCTCAATGTCCTGATGAACGGTTATAATTAGTAGTCGAAGCAAGACATGCGCTGCGATGGATGTCGAAACTCTTCATACAATCGAGGCTCGTCGAAGGATCCGCCTTGACTCTCGGCACGAGACAATGACCTGAACTCGAGACAGACCGTTTGACATCAGGGCATTGACGACAATGCTACTGCACGAACCATCAGCGTGCCTGAGCTGCGCTAGACGAGACTCGATGACGAAACAAAAGCGACACCAACGATGACGCTCAAAACTCGTTACTCGGGAAGCAACCACTCTGAGACCCATCGAGCCAAGTCTCCGATTAATTCGCCCGAGTCTGAAAGTTCTCCAATCCGGGACTACATACCCATGGACAAGTTGACCGGGGGAAGATGGAAGAGGGGAAGGGGAGAAAAAGAACTGAAACCGAGACAGGGTCCAGGAAGATGCGGACATCGCACCCTTCCGAGCCGGAGGCCTTCTGTCTGCTCGGTCGAGAGTCAGTTATTCATTCATATGGCGCACATGCCGTTATGATCAATGTCTGCGGTCGTCGTCTCGGCGACTGTCCCACCCAACCCATGTTGGGCATCATATCGGCCGGCAACCCGTAGCGGCTTGAGGTCCGTCTGGTCACTACCCTTTTCTTGGCGTGCCAGACTGATTATCGTCGTTTCGAAAGATCACATGATTCTTCTTCTAGAGCTGCTGGTGCTCCGCTAGACTGGTTTGGAAGACACGACTGAAGTTTGTCCCGCAGAAGCGTGACAAATCCACAAGAATACACGACCTATGGAGCAGAGCGAGCGAACTCGCGCGCGCAGTAGGCTGACCACGCCCTCCGTTTCAAGTTTTTTTTTCTCTCCACTCGATTTAGGTTAAAAATCATCCGGCGGCGGACTTTCCCTTCTGTTGTCCTCCCACCCATGCACCGACCGGCCGAGAAACTGGCTGACTGACTAACTGCCCAACGACGAGGAGACTTTCATCCCCATCGTCCGGCCTTGAACTTTCTTCGACTCCGACCTTCAACTAGAGTCCGGCTCGGCTTCGTCTTCACCCCGACAAATTATACAGATATGAAATGGGATAAATATGCATGCCGTGCCGGTGCGAGTTATGGAGCAACTTGGGGGAACACTCGGCGAGAAAACTCAAGGAACTCTCTCAAGTTGCAAACCACTTCTCTTCGATGATAGAGATTCGAGCTCGAACTCATTCCGGTTCCAGTTGATCAAGGTACTTCCCGAGTTCGAGGATCCGCGTGGTTTTCGCTACGTCGCTCGCCAGAAAGTTCACTGTCCGAGAAGGAAAAATACGAAGTTCGTCGAGCTTTCCCTTGGCAGACTCCACGAGACTTGAGCGGGTGTTCCCCTCGGTTAAGATGCTCGTTTAGAGGAAAACCCCAAATGACGGAAAACCATCGCGTACACAACAAACGACCGAAAAAGCTCACTGGTCTAAGAAAACGAGACGAAAGTGTTGTAATCATCCCGGACGGTCTTGCCACCGCTGATTAGAATCAGCGCATTCAAGGACAACGAGTCATTGACCATTGCTGACCAGAGAAGATTGGGAGAGTATAGGGAGAAAAAAACCAACAACAACCACGACGCCGACGGCCATTCTAACAAAGTGAAGGCATTTGGACAGAAGCCCGATGAACCCTCGGATGCAGAGCACACGACGACAGAATAGCAGATGATCATTTGACCTTGAGCGCGATCCTTCGGCCAGCGGCCTCAACGCCCCCACACGAGACGTCTGGCTATCGAAAAGTACATCAAGCGAAAATAGCCAAATAACCTTTCGTTCGCTTTCGTTGCTACTCTCCCCCGTCGCGCTTCCGAGCCCAAAAACGATTGTTTCATGCAAAGCGACGTATCGGTTCCGCAGGCTGGCGGCGTGGACGAGGAGCTTACACCCCGCGAAACGAGCAGAAGAAATCCAATCGCTAGAAGCTGACACGAGCTGAAGTCTCTGAGCTGATTACATCATTGGTCACTTTCTCAGACCGGAGAAAGGGGGAGAGCGAGCGAAAAATCTCTAGTGATGTATCTCCGAGATCAAGAGAGCGACAGTGGTCGAGTGAGCGAAACGAGATGTTCAGAGAAAGCATGGGAAATCGGAAGCATTGTGGCACCGCGACAGGCATGCAAACCAACCACAATTCTTCGCTAACTCCTTCTCAATAGGAGCTGGCTGTTGCCTGGCTTGCTTACAGCAGCCCAGCTATTCTTGAACACGAGTGAAGATTGAGACATTCATGCGACCAGATGGTGGTCGGCCGGCTCCTCGAGAGGCGATCATGGATAGCCGTCGCTTAGGGGACAGCTACCGCTTCAGACAACCCTATGACTACAGAATTCGGTCCTCCAATCGATCGCTCACTACATTGGCTACCGGGAGAGCGCTACGATCTAAACACTTCTCATAATTGAGCATCAGATCGGATTTTGGTGAACTCGGGCGACATATTTCGGATTATGCTCAAGTCACAGTCGTAGACCACAAAGCCACAAATCTCGTGCTGGGAAATTCGTAAGGCGGAAGGAATCTCAGCAGATCGATCAAAACCCGTTCGCGTCCTCTCTCGAGAGCCGATCGGCGGAACTATGGTACGCTGACGTCGAACGACTCGAATCCGAGTTAAGTGTCACTTCTGAAGTCAAAACTTCACGATCGAAGGATACATTGCGGAATACATTGGGAGCACGCGTTGAAAATAAAGACAAGCTGTCAGATTTCAGATAATATCATATCGTTCCCTCAGTCGCGTGGTCACTTCACACAAAAGCAGACGGTTCTCCATATCGTGCCTCCGATCGGAGATTGTTCACACGATGCCGAGCAGAATCATAGCCGATGGCAGAGCGACGCGTTCTCACCGAACGACATTTTTCTATTCGAATGCTCGCCGTTCTATCCCTGGTGTCCCATCACGATATGATGAGGTGATGGAATCGAGAGCGTCACCGTATTTTTTTTCTTGGAGACGAAAGATTGAGCGGACTTCACAAATTTGTTTGCCTTCAATAATTATGCTGACTGAACCGATCACGAGGATGGAGAAACACATTGTTCCGCTCTGCGATGATTCATTCTACTATTAGAACAGACCCGTCGAGCGCGGCGAGACGTTCAGACGGGTTCGAGTTCAGGGAAAATACGGAGACTCCTTGTAAATTGGGAATCATCCATATCTGTCTGTCCCGGTCATATATTCATTCATTTCGAAGCTTGGAGAAGTCATAAGACTATTGCGAATGTTTGCCCGAGATGAAACGGGAGTCGCATTTGAGGAAGAGCGCTGTCATGTGCCGCGAGCTACTTCCGCCGTCGACAGCACGTTTTATCGGTGTTTCTCAGCGTTCACTAGAATCTCGTAGATACCGGTGGCGTGAATGGGAGAGAAGAGCGGATCTCCAGCGAGGGATTGGAAAACATCTCATGTTTTCGCCGTGGATTCGACGCAATCCACGGCTCCTCCGAGGGTCGCGCGTTGCCGGCCTCTCGGCCATCGATGTTGGACCGATCGCTTCTAGAAAATTACAGCGCCTGGCGAGATCGGGGGAGGCAAAGAGGGGATACGTTGCTTCCCAAGCTTTTGGCGAATGCATGCGCTCGCCGAAACTGCTGATTCGGCGTTAGCCTCAAGCCGCAATATGGCCTTGAACAAGGAAGAAGAACCTTATAGACAGACTGGCCTGTCCTCGCACGTGTAGACAGTATCACCTTCGTGGTTAGCTGGTTTTCTGGCATTCGATCATCTACCTGGTGACCGACGGAGACTGTCTCGGGTCCGATTTAGAAAACGGTTATTTCTCATATATTTTCCCGGTGCGGCCGCAAGGTTTCAAGATCGTCGAACGCCCGACTCCGACGTCAGAGGCGTCCTCGAGCACTCAGTGTTCCCATGGAGGGATGCTAGTGAGCGAATCTCCCCCGGCGAATGAAAACGGGGAGGCGCATTTTCCGGACGCTGCGCCGGCCGTCGGAGTCGATCTCTCCGCGTGGAAGACCGCACGGGGATTCTTTCGGGAGACCCGATGGAAAACCCGACGTGAAGTCGGATGGCAAGCCCGACGGAAGGGCTGAAAGAAAGCCAAGCCGGACGAGGCCGCCCCAGATTCTAGCGACCTCGTCTCACGGAATGATATACAAGTCCTTGGCACGACGTGTTACAGGCTTGCGGGGCGTCAAGCGGCCTGAGATGCGGCAATCTAGGAACGAACTGGCAAACCGGACCATCTCACTCGAATGCCTTGAGAACAGAGAAAGGGGAGCTCGTTCGATAGCCGGGGTCGGGAAGACCGAAAGGAGCGCGAAGGAACTCTCTCACGGTCTCTGACGACACAGTCACTCTGTGGATTTCTCGAATCGTGATGAGCGAGAACTCTGTGCAAATATTCCGGGACCGCGCCTGGAAGGAATCCGATGAGCTGCTTGCGTACAGTCTTCGGAAGGCCGGATACGATCGACTCTTGTTTTCGGCTTCCCCTTCGGTGTACTCGTCCCATGTCGCTACCTCTCCGCGCGTCGGAATAATCTTCTTGTGAGGCTCTGGAATTCTGACACAGGGTCCTCAAACAGGAGACTCGGGAACATTTACTCAGCGAAGACACACAATCGGAGCTGTACATCTCTGTTGGAAACTCCGGAAAGGCGGCCAGGTCGATAATGTTCATGGAATCTGTGGCACTGAACTGAATTCGTGGACCGCGCAAGCGAATCCCGAAATTTTCCTCGGATCGGTTCCCAGAAACCGGTGGCGCCACCTACTGTTCGAAAAGGAAGCTCTCAAGCCGTTCCTCGCCATAGTTCGCCTAAGCGTCACATGGGGCGCTGAAACACCGGAAAAAGAGAGGGGGAAAAAGCGGCCTGCTCCTCCCAAACAAACATGGCGGAATCGAACACTTGCTATGAGCACACGAAATAACGAGACCCACGTGGCGGCACGTTCTTTGTGAGCCGTCTCGAGTTCCCCGCATGCGAACGCAGTCCCAGCTGTGCTCTCGAGTGATTCGATACTATCGACCGTGCGCAAGCTCTCCGTGGTGATGAGTTCCCGCCGAAAGATTCCCAACATTCTGGTCACGGGTACTCCAGGGACTGGGAAGTCGACCCTGTGTTCTGAACTCGAAACACGAACGATGTGCCTCGAGTGGATCAACGTCGGGGAGGTTGCCAAGCAGAACAAGTGCTTCGAATCCTTCGATGACCAATACAAGTGCCATGTACTCGACGAAGAGAAACTCATGGACGAAATTCAGGACAAGATGGATGATGAAATCGGCGGTAAGATGGTCGACTACCACGGTTGCGACTTCTTCCCGCAACGATGGTTCGACGCGGTGTTCGTACTGCGCACCGACACGAAACTGCTCCACGATCGCTTGACTGGCCGAGGCTATGAGGGGAAGAAACTCGAGGACAATTTACAATGTGAGATCTTCCAAATTTTACTCGACGAGGCCAGGTCTGCTTACGACGAGAAAATCGTGCACGAACTTATCAGCGACTCTCCAGAACAGCTTGAGGACAATCTAGAAAAAATCAGCAAGTGGGTCGAGGAGTGGAAGAACGCGTCGCAGTAGCATAATTTGGACGATTAGCTTCTGATTGAATTTCCGCGTGGAGCGTATTGTCAAATGTACATAAAAATGTTTAATGGGAAGCGCTCCGAAGTTATCCTGTCCTCGACCGATCGATCCAGCTGGCGCGCCACTAACCGAGCTCTGATACGATATCAATGGATCCATCGACCCCCCGGGAATGATTCACTTCCGACGTTATTTGTTATTTAATTGCCTAAAGAAAAAGGGACGATCCAAGCGAAGCGAATAAATTATGGAAAAATTCGACGCGTTCGATTCACTCCAGACGTTTAGGTGTCTTCTATTGCGCATCGCTCTGGACAGCGGGTCGGTGTATACGGCTCCCTGCTCAGCGACGGGTTCGCCACGACGCAGTTTAGGCAGTGTGGAATTTTCCGAACGGAATTCCTCTACGACCGGTGCTTTGCCCGATACGAAATCGATCCCCGTGACACTTGTGATAAGCGTCAACGCGGACCCAGTCGAACCCGATGTGACCAGGTGAATGAGAAAGACTCAAAAAGATTCCCCATGGGGGATCGGGGCTCGAGACTCCCTCAGCAGTGAAATGATGCGTCAGCTGTGGGGGATCCGTCGGAGGCGAGGACCTCGCAGTGCGCCGCGTGATTGCTCTCCGAGGAGAGAGAGAACTCGGACGAATGCCAAAACGTCTTCGGAATATGATGATGGAGTCGCGTGCTAGGCAAAGATAATTAACTCAATCACGAGTTTCCCGTCTTCTCGGCACTCGCCGCAGTCGTCTTATCGCAATGATACTGAGCATCTGGTAGTGAGAGGCCCGCGATTGGTGTTGTTTCATTCTCGCAATGGTGATTTCCCGAAAAAATTCCTCATCTGAGAAGGCCCTTCAAACGACTCTACTGATAAATCCCAAGATAATCCATAAAAGGCCTATCATTTTCCCTCAACATCATTCCGTCGGCTAAGTACCATCCGGAGAAAGGCACCTATCGACTGAAAAATGATTTCTCAGATGACTTCAGGCGAGGGCATCAGAGACCCATTCTCTTGGACTTGAAGTCGTGGGTTGTTGAGCCAGTCAGAGTTTTTCCGAGGTGCTACATGTGGATCCATTCACGTTTCCCGAGGATTACCCGACACGAGGCACGACGAATACATTCCTGCTGGTTTGTTCACTTACGTATATCGCTGAGGTCTCCGTCATCAGATGAAGATTTGTTGTTAGGCTCCTGCTTGATGTAAACGTCGAGACCATCCAGATCACCTGGTTCCACTTTCACTTGCACCTGGGAATTGAACTCTTGTATGAGCCACTTTTTAAGACACGGCTGCAGGAGTGGTGAGTCTGTGAGCGAACTTTTCTCTGGCTCTCGATTCACCCTAAGGCAGGTAACAGAGAACACTCAAGGAGCGTATACATCATTTACGGGCATGTTAATGTTAATCGTGGTATAGCCAGTCAGTTATATCATTGACGAGTTCGAGCAGTCAGCCTTACATTTTGAAAAGTTCCCTCGGCGTGCAGCGGCGCGATTGTGGGTGTCAGATGTGACGTGCTATCTGCACTTTTCCTCCTTTTCCTGCGGCGAGGCGGTAGGTCCCCAAGTATGGTGAGATTCTCAAGATTTTTTCCCTGTGGCTCGAGATCAGCGAAAATAGACTCTATGTTATCCAGGTGTGAGTCATTCAGAGATCTCAGAAGATCTTCAGATTCTTCAGCTTCGGGAGCTGGCGCCAGTCCGGTCAGATCTGTGTGGCTCAACTCTGTGAGGGTGCCCTCGACGGGTGTCGGTTGAGGTGATACCAAGGTGATCGTTGTGTCCAAGCACGAGAGGTTTGTCAGCTCGGTCATTGTCTTGCCCTGCTCCTGACACCAGAGGAGATCGTCATCGATGAAAGGCATGTTCGAGCGATTCAGCGACGATGCTCCTCGTTGATAACGTACAGAAAGAATGTTGACGGGTATAGCGTCGATCCTTTCCTTCAATTAGATGGATTCTGAGATCCCGGAACTATCCCTTTCCCTTGCAGGAGGTCCTTCCGAGATTCTGATTCCGAATTGCGGTACTCCGTCTATGTATGATGTTTGTGCTGGGTTACTGCCGTGGCGCGTCGCGAAAATCTCTCAATATGGATTTTCGGGATAACAGTAGCAGATACAGCAGTGAAAACTCGAACAAAACTGCTCAACGCTAGCAAACGGAAACAAATTTCTCTCTAGAGAAGTTGGAAAATCCTAGACGCGAGGACGTTATGAAGCCAAAAAGGCAGGCTCTGCCCAAATCGGACTCGGACAATTAAAACAATGGAGTAGAGCGCTTCGTGAGTCGATGGATTTAGGTGGCATTTTCATTCAAGCTGAGGTCCAATCGAAGCGTTCCCGGCTGCAAGAAAATTTGTGATTCATGAGTCGACTGTACGCGAATGTGAAGGCGAGGACTCCAAGAATGTACCAACGTATTTGATTCCGGAATTTTCGGGAAACTCTTTCACTTCACCACAAGATAATTAAGGCCGTCTGCTTTACCGAGAAGAGCCGTCTCCAGTCGTGGTAACAGGATGAGGTATGAATTTGAGTCAGGAGGGACGCAAACTGAAAAGAAAATCGAGGTTATGAAATTATGGTTGAAAACTAAGTCGGCTATTGAGGAACGAGCTCGAGGTACCCTCAAAGGGAAGGGAAGCGTTCGGAGAATAGACTTTTCGCTAAACATCGACTCAATCTTTTTTTCCGGAAAATTATTTTGTTCACAGCTTCCAGGGGAGAATGAGGGAAACTAAACCTGGCTACTCGGAGATATAGATTTCCCAGCAATGATTTCACCACGATTCGAAGGCAGCATTCGGTGCTATACCCTGCAAATCTCGACGCATCACCTGTCGACCACCTGGGCACGTGTATGCGAACAGACCCCGCGCGGCGTCCAAGTCGCAGCACTAATCCGCGGTAAACTTATCCCTGTGAGACTGTACCGCGACGCCAGTATGTGGAAATGAGCATTACACTTTCCATCTCAGTTGTCACGGCGGAAAGTCTCAGGAAATGAGCATATCTCATTCGCTCATCAGGAAAGCTCTTCCCTGACATTCGTCGAGAATTTCGCGAGATAATCATATTGCCGGAGTGCAAATCTGGGATCATTCTCCATCTCCTGATCTGAATAAAACCCCTCGAACGATAAGAGAGAGAATTTCGTCTGTACGTTGTCAATGATCTCGACCGAAAGCTTTTTCGTCCCGTCGGCGTCGACCTGCAGACAAACTCACGAGAAGGTTGCTCAGAGTCCTGTGATGCCCCGACTGTACCGCGAAACCGCAACACTCACGGAAGAGCCGGACGAGATTTGCTTCTTCCTGACAGTCGTGAGGAACCTCCGGGAATGCACTAAAACTGTTGTCAGGTTCCAGACCAGTTCCACGGAGTCAGATAGGGGAAACAGGCATTCGGAACAGGCACCACCGAATCGAGTACCACCCACGTGCACAGTCAAGTGTCGTTTGCGTACCTCCGTCCAGCTATCGTCACGGGAACGAAGAGTGAGGTCGGTGGCCGCACTCCGTTTGCGAGGTAACCAAGAGCGCACTACTCAATAGAGGTCATTCACCCCGAGTGCCGCTCTAACTCCATATCGTGCAAGCGGTAAAACAGGCAATGCATCCAGGACCTGCACGACACGAGCGATGAAGATCATCGATAAAAGTTCTGTGTAAGCGCAAGTCACCAACTCTCTCCCGAAACGGGCCAGAATCCGAGAACGCAAAGATCATTCTCAAACATCTCTAATGGTTAGCTGCTTGAATCCTCAGCGTAGCATGAAGGTCGACAACCTCACGAGACGCGAGCGCTGAATGATGTGCGTATACAATGACGAGCCGAACTCCGATAAAAGCAGCGGTCATCGATACTTTTCAACTGCATTGCTGGGCATAATGTTTAGAAGAGTTAAGAAACCTCTGGTCGTTACCCTTGAGAACAGTAAGCGGATCGACTGCCAGCCGGATGGATACAGTCTTACAGAGTGAGAGATTTTTGGTAAAAGATAGAAGGGAGACTCAGACGGCGAGACTCGGTCGGTCCAGGGAAAAAGGTCTCAGCCGCTTCTTCTGGCTTGCTCTCGTTCCTGGATGCAAGCGGTGTTTAGAGGAGTGCTCCTACCTTCTTCAGCCATACACTAGCAGACCACAACCATCTCATAAACAATTCGAGCAGCAAGAATAATCGTTTTTATGACTAGTGTCTCTCACTAAACCAGATCCAATACTCAGAGCTTACATTGTACTCGAGGAAGCCATCGACCCGGGAGACAGCAAGGCATGTCAGTAAACCGCAGTTAGAATCTCTTCTCCATTTGACTTGGGCTCCAGAACGCGGGTTTGAGACTAAAGAGACAGGGCTTGTTTGAATTCTATAGCAGAGAACTCGTGGAATCCCACGGTCAACTGTATTTTAAAGGGAGGACGCTCCTCTCTCGTGTCGGGAGGAGATAGCCCACGATGCGATCTGTATTCGGCATCGCTAACCCGTTTCGAGTGTGCCCGACTTTCTCTTCTGGAGGAAAATCTTTGCGAAGAGCTCGGAGTCACAAAGTTCTCATTTTGGTGGAGGATCGGAGACACAGAAGGCCGTTCACCTCGACCAACGGAGCCGAACCCGTACTACAGGAACTAGAGATCTCAAATCGCATATGGAACCTTCACTTCCGATTACGTCCACTCAATGCTTCTAATTGAACTGGGATCTATCGACGATAAGCGATTGGAGGTGGGTACGGTCTTTGCCTAACAGACCAACGCGCTTCGAGAAAAACTATTCGAGCGTTTCGCTTGAAGGCACGCGATCCCTATAACTGTTACAGGCGTCTGACTCACAGATTATATTCGCAGTCGGGAATGCGCTAAGTCCCCACCTAAATATTTTCCCCCTCGTGCCCATCGCTCTCCCTCTGGGTCTCTTCAGAGCGTCTGACGTGTTGAAACTAGCTTCCGGGAGCGCTTGTTTCTCGCACGTACGGTAGAAGATATTCTGTCCCTCGACGCGGAAGACGATGGAGAAGCGTCAATGGGGACCTCTGAGGTTCTCGACGCGGAAAAATCGTAGCGTACGGCAGATCAATCGTCGTCGAGTCCCCAGCGAGCGAAAAAAAGTACGCTCATGCGGACAGCGGAAGTGAAGGTCATGAACTCTCACCGAGGTCGTGACTCGATCCGGAGGTTGTCGGCCCTCGTGTGGGCAGCGCATGCGTTCTCTCTCCGTTTCCTACTGTCATGGATCTGATTCATAGAGTGAGCGAGTTCACGCCGAAAACGTGAACCCTCCACGAATCGAGTCTCGAACGCCGGCGAGTTACGCGAGCAGAATAGGCAGGGGGTAGACCTTGATTTGGTAGAGATGTTAACGCGGTGCGTATCGCGGCGGAACCACGACTGCGGCGGCCCGACAACCACCACGACCGGCCAGCTATCCAAGGCGCTTCCTGTTTCGCTCAGTTCTGTTCTCGTAAACTGACGTCATCATCATCGTGAAGTGCAGCAGTAGCTGCAAAGGGCTTCACGTATTTCTGTCGGAGGAAGGTAGACGCTGTCAGCTGAATAGCTCAGTTGCGGACATTTTTCTCAAGATTATCGTGAAAGAGGAAGACATTCACAATCTGGAATCTGCTGGCTCGACACATGGGTACATATCAACGGTGGTAGGTGAGGCGACCACTGACACGAAGCTTGTCAGCGCTCGCTAAGCTCAGAGCTGCTTGATCGGTTTCACATCGAGACGCGTCACTTTGTAGCGAGACGCTGAATGGAATGATATCAAACTTTCCTCGCTGGCTGGCTCGCCCGCCCGCTCGCTTGCACGGTCTCTGGATATTAATCAATCTACCCATCTATCGACCTCTCCAGCAAGCACTGTATGAGTGAAAGTTCTGCTTCGGGAAGACCCTCTTCGTCGTCCGGTCGCTCGTTTTCCCGTTAGTTTGTTGTCGCCATCGTTGTCGACTCTTCGGCATCGCTTAAGATGGCAGGGGAAAGAGGAAAGTCTCGTCTTCTTCAAACGATCCGTCTTCGGCACGGCGTCGAGCACATGTGTCCCACTTTCGCTTCTTCAACAAGCGACTTCAACTGGGTCGCCCGCCGGAGTTCTTGCCGCTCCAGTCGCCGTCGGATGAAAGCTCTCCTCTACCGCATACTAGACGCGTTACGACGATGCCGACGACCAGAACCGTTAGATTTGCAGCCGGAGCAGAACCATCAGAGGCAGAAAACGCGCCGGGACACCGATAGAGAAAGTGCGTGAATTTCTGCGTGTGGCCACAAAGAACGTTGAGGTCAATTCTGTTTCCAACCGACGACGATGATGAAGAGGAAGAAAAAGATACTCTTGTCCCCTTGTCCGACCGGCTGCCCCGAAAGTCTTCGTATTTAGCGTCATGTTCCGCAGACACACGGAAGCACGCGACTAACCATTTTACAAACCCATAAGCCACCAATCGAGCGCATCGGCTCCGAAGCAGGAACGATCTACCATGCCATTCCATTGCTCGGAGATATTTGTCTGCATGCATTGAGAACAGATGCTCAAGGCTCTTCTCGGATTCGTGGAAGCGAGCGACCGAATATCACGGGAACAGAGCCATGCGGATAGGATTGGAAAGGGATTTCCTCTTTTTTTCTGTAGAGCGGCGATCAATCTCCGCGTGGTTATAACACCTGATGGGAACAATTATCATAGTCGATGAAAACCCGTAAGCAGGAGATTTAATGAAGCCCAATAACGACTTCTGCATAACGACGATACTAAACAAAAATAGCGTTCCGAGGCCATGGTGCCAACATTGACAATCCAGAAAACACGCTATTCAAATACAGCAGCAGCAGCTGCCGCCGCCACTGCCGCGTCGCTGTCGTCGT